TCTTCTCATCCTGATCAAGAATATATATACTTTGTGGGGTCTGCCACGCCTCCTTCTGTGTGTTACATACATGCGCACAAAACTAGTATAGCCTTTCACCCTTTGGGTACAGGCTATAAAAAGAAAAAGAGCGAACTTGATGAGCCAGTTTGTGGGCGTAGGTCTGGAGTGAAATTGTTTCGCTAATAACTTTTTTTAGAATGTAGATACATAGTTGTATAGAGATTAAAAGTAAAAAGTTTAGTTGATGTAGAAATTTGGACAGAATTGACAAAATTCTGTAGGGGGTGGGGGCTTGGGGTTTTAAATTCAAAACAAACTTAAATAAACTCGCCCTTTCTCGGACCTAGATTCTCCTAGGATACCAACTCTGGTTATTCCAGCTTTAATACTTGTAGGTTTTTGAGATCAAATTTTCAATTCATACATACATAAGTGAAGACATTTGTTTATGTACAGTTTCAGCTGCGTACAATTTCATCAGAATCGTGTCTATGCGTTTTTATGTCAAATCAGCAACAACAACAACAGTTGCGGGCTTAGCTTGGGCTCACATTAATGGCTATAAAATCCATTTAAATCGGCTTATCATGATGAAACTTGACACGGACCACGGTGTTTGCCAAATCTGCGTTCCAAATTCCAAGAACTATGTTATGGAAAAACAAGAAAGGAATGCTAAAGTCGAGCAGGCTCAACTCTTAAATACCCTGTACCACCCCACAAAAGAATTTAATTTAATTTATTAACTAAATTAAATATAAAATATTCCAAACATGCATACATACATTTACATTTACATCAGAATCGTGTCTATACGTGTTGGTGTACTTGTACATACTTGTATGTGTGTATGTGTGCATTGGCCTGGTTATATGGCTATAACTTTCTTTCTAATTACCCTATCATAATATACGGTTTCCAAAAATCCCCAAAAAGGAGAAGTGTGAGGGAAATTAAATAGTAAAACAAACTTGCACAGCGTACACAGCTAAGGCATCTTTCTACAAAATTTATTCTCTAGCTCTCTGAGATCCAGGTTTTCATATTGACGGCTCAGATGGACAAACGAACAGACGGGGCTAGATCGACTACATTTCATGTACAGAGTGTAGAAAGCCAGCAGGTTTAAGTCTTCAAAAATTGATAAAGCTTTGTATCATTTCCACAGAGTTATTTATTTATTTAGCTGCTCCAATAATTATTTAAATTTGTGATTCTTCTGTAAATTGTGTTAACGTAGTTCAGAATCTTGTACGCAAGTTGAATTATTTATTTTCCAAACAATTAAACCTAAACACCATTTGTTTAAATATTTGCAATTGCTAAGCACAACTAGTCATTTTTAAAAATCGCAAAATATATAAAAGGCAACTTTCTGGCTACGAAATTCAGTTGAGTCTCTAATTTCCAGAAAGTCAATATGAGAATCACAATTTTTATCTTATTGGCTGCATTTGTCGGCGCTATTTATGCGCAAGGTAAATAAAAAGCTGGATTTATTTATTTACACATGTACATTAATAAATTAATACGTATTGTTAATAACTGACTTTTTATTTTTGCAGTTACAGACGAAGTGATTACGACTACTAGTACTATTACTACTCCTGCAAGTCGACCACGCCCAAACTCCCAGTGGCCGTGGAGGAATTTGTTTAGATGGATCCGTGGTGGTAACAATAAAATTTACATTTTCAATTAATTGTAAAATATAATACTGTAAAATCGAAAAGTCATACTGAGCGTACTATTAAATTCTCCGATTACTAAATATAACTATTTTGATCAAAGCATATTAATAATCACATTCTATAATGTAATAATGTTCATACAAGGTACGTTCCAAAGTAAACAGGACTTTTTGAATCTAGCGCCCTGGCGCTATCTATATTTCGACTAATGCGTTAGAATCTGCTATCTTTATCGGTTGTCCAGTGAGAATTTCATGACATTTCATCGATTGTGTTATCGGTGCGAAAATGAGCTTCGAACAAAGAGCCAACATTAAATTTGGTTTTAAAATTGGTAAAACTTTTACCGAAACGTTTCAATTGATGGTACAAGTTTATGGCGATGATTGCCTATCCCGTAGCAGAGTGCACGAGTGGTTTCAACGTTTTCAAAGTGGTCGTGAGGACATAAATGACGATCAACATGTGGGCCAATCAAAATTCGTGATCACCGTGATGCGTAAATTCATCAAAAAATCATTGAAATTGATGGAAATGGAATTAACCTTCTCCAAAACATCGATTTATCACATTTTGATATTTGAGATTGGGCTTACGAAAGGTGTGTGCACGGTTTGTTCCACACAAATTGACAAATTGATAATTATAATATAAAATTTAAAAGAAAAAAACTCGTCCTTTCTCGGATATAGGAGAATCTGGTTATTCTAGCTTTTATAGTTTCTGGGATCCTTGCGTTCATCCAGACGGACAGACGGACGGACGGATATGTCTAGATCGATTTCTTTCGTCATGCTGATTCAGAATATATATACTTTATTGGTTTGAGATGCTTCCTTCTGCATGTTACATACTTTGCACAAACAAAAATCACAATAAATTCAATAAAATTTTAAGTTATTTCATGCTCCATACACAAAAGACTACTGTACGGAGAAGTTAAAATGTAACACTCACAAACTAGATATTAAATGTTCTAGAAGATCAAGTCAAGTTAGTAACTATTTAGATATTTCCAAGGCCTTCAACAAATTATAGAACCTTGTTTTCTAAGAACTATTTCCAACTCATCACAACCCGTAAAGAGTCTTGCCGAAAACACCCTTGTAATCTATTTACAAGACAATTTACTCGAGTATAGCAATCAGTAAATCAACGTCTCAGAAATTCTCGAGCCTTGGAAATGGGTCAGCGTCTTGTAATCGAGTAGGGTTCATGAACGATCGTTCAAAGTTTTACGTGATTTTGCACTAGTTCGCCACAATTTTATGGATTTAAGTGGATTTGCGTATCACAACTGGACCGCAAAGAGCAACTTGAACAGCAAAATGAAATTTGAGGCGACACATTTGGCAAATTGCCGCTGTGGCTCAGTTGGAGGTATCAACATTTCCACCGCTGGTTGCCAGCTACTATCGATGTCGGCGCTGCGGTGGCTGCGAGAAAATCCGAGATTCTGAGTACGACTCAATTAGCACCAATTGAATTATTACACGACGACACCACTCATTCAATTTTCACTGATGTTGGGGCACACACGAATTTCTATATTTCTGTCACTGAACAAATGACAAAAACAAATTGTGCGATAAATAAAATGCGCGACTCGCATCAAATGAAACATTCCATACATAGTATAACCATAACTATACTTGGCTGGCCTATAACTTCACTGCGTACGCTTCAGAGCAAGAAAAATATTTACTTTAGCAAATACATACTGTATATATTTAGTTATTTATTTAAACTATTTTGAAATAAAAACTACTGCTCAACCAGACTCATTTGCGCAATGGTAGTGCGACTTAGAATTCAAAATCCTCATATTTCTTTTTCAAATTAAATCAATAAGGTCTATAGATAATACTCGTAAGTATAATATTATTACTACACATATAAATTACACAAATTATACTTTTATGTATTTATTTATTTAACCTACTATTTGTTAGAAATTCAATCACAATTTAAATAAATTCAAAAACGCCTTACAATTATGATAAACCATTGTCCACAACAGAAAAAGTTGAACAACTTGCCTCCATCAATTTTACAAAAATAATACTAAGTCACACAAACTACAAATGTTTTCACTTATATCTTTCGGAATCACAATCACTTTCGTCATCATCATCCTAAAGCTAACTTTAAATAAATAACATGAATTAAATCAATCACATTTTATTTTTCAGACAAATTTAGAATAGTAGCTGACTGTTCAATTGTACAGTTTATATTAATATTTATTTAGATATATTAATTATTATTAGATATACAAGTATATATATTATAATTAATTTAGTAGATATATTAATTTCGTTTTATTTCCGAAACGTTTCAATTTTAAATGTTTATGACGATTATTTATTATCTCTTGACAGGGTCAACGATCGAAGAATAGTACAGATGATTTGACTGGCGACGAATAATATTTTGACCAGCAAAACAAACTCGTGATTACCGAATAGTGAATGAGTGAATTTGTAAAAAAATAATGTGGAATAAATCGAAGTGGAATTAAATGTGTCCAAATTAACGATTCATTTCATTATAGTAGAAAAGTTTGGGTCTGATTTTGTTATTAAAAATAAATCGATTAAACTATATACCACCACCCAAGTTACATTTTCCCACTCTGAAGAACAGCCCGACTGTTGCAAATGCTTCTTGATCGTGCTAAACGTAATTATTTAGTCGGAGGGTGATTTAGTTGAATAAAAATATTCGATCTTTCTTTTTTTAAAAGTCCTTTATACGCACTTTGTATTAATCATCAACATATATATGCACTGAACGCTTAATCTCTGAAAAATGGACTATTGGTTTTGAAACTTCTGCAGCTAAATATATAACCAATAGCCGTAAGTAGAATGTAACAAAAATATCGCACAAAATAATCTAAAATTGGAAAAACAAATTATTTGATTAATATGTCATCTAATTATTTGTAGAAATAGTTAGTGACTATTTTTTTCCACAATTGAATGTGAAGATTCACGGTACTTTATAGAAAAACTGAACATTCTTATTTCCGATTTCCGAGTACACTCGTATTTTATGGAAAACTAGGTGTTTATTTCTCTCTCTGTCATCCTCTTAGATCCTCTAGCAAAATATTAACATTAATGTATATATAGTACAAAATTTGATTTATTTAATGCCATCCATTCTGTCAACGAGACAGATTCATAATTAGATATCAATATAGTTTTACGATGGTTTTTCACATTTTATGCCAAAGGATTTCTCTTCTTAACATCATATTTGAATTTCCAAATTTGTCAGCTATAGGAACAAAAGATCAAAGAAATAATACAAAATAATATTGCTGCTGGGAAAATGCCCCACAAAGCCAATCGTAGCGCCCACATATCATGTAGTTATCACTTTCCTTTGGATATACGCGCAATGCGATTGTCAGCAGCGGTCCAGTCTTGCCTTGTTTATCGCCGTGTTCACTTGTCATTCTTCGCACTCAAGAGTTGAGATTAAATGAAATACGCAGTGCTGTTGGTTCTGGTGGTGGCCGCGTGCCTGGTTGTGCCCAGTGCCGCACGTGGTGGCCGCGGTCGAGGTGGTGGATCTGTTGGCGGCCTCTTTGGCGGTTGGCGTAAATACAAGAAGCCCTCCTCCTCGGGCAATGGTCGACGTGTGATGAATGGTTCGCCAGTGCACACTGCAATGCCATTGCCTAAGCCCCCGCCACCACCGCCAGCGGTGAAGCCGATGTCTGCTTCAAAGCCACAAATGGCCGGCTATCCGCGACAGCAGCTACCATCTGGCTATGGTTATGTGCCGCCAGGTGCTACTGGGGCTGGCACGTATTATACCAATGCACAGTCGCTGCCCGCTGGAGCTATTTACTATGCCCAACCTCCCATGCGCTCAGGTGAAGGCCTAAAGCTAGGAGTGTCCTATGTGCCTCGATTTCATTAGGTTCGACTTCCTTACAGGTACTGGTGACTTTTTGACTGGCATGCTGGCAGGACACATGATGAGCGGTATGCTCATTGGCCAGCGACATCATGTCACTCATGTCTACCATGAAAATCAAGAGGCTGGTTCTGAACAAGGCCACCAGCCGAGCAATGGTCGCGACATTATAGTCATCAACAATGGGAAGCAGCAGCAGCTGGGCGAGCAGTCGGGGGCTTGGCCCATGGCAACAGATGTCCCACTGGCACCGGTAAACGAATCTATGCTGAGTCCTTCGTCCGAAGCAAGCGGTAAAGAGCCATTTTTTAAAAGAGCCACTCATGCTCCCATGTCATCCAAAATAGAAGAAGACACATCTGATGTAGAGGTGCCGAACGCTTCGCAGGACTTGCACTCTGCCGAAGCAATGGCAACACCTGAAGTCCCAACTCCTGCTCCTGGTGGCATCGTTTGCTTCCCCATCATGTTGAATGAAACGGATCCCGACAATTCAGAATTGGTTCGTCAAGTCGAGCGTGTGATTTGCTATCCAGTGCCCAATCAGCCACCGTTGCCGGAGGTTCAGTGCGAGACACACAGCTATACTGAAACAGACCCAAATGATTCGAGCAAGACCATCGAGGTCCAACGCGAGGAATGTAATCCAGTACAGCTCAGTACAACCACAACTGAACCACCAATTGTTGCAGGCGAAATTGGTGGTGGCGCTGCCGGTGAGGTGGCCAGCTACGTGGCCAACAGAGCAGGCGCTACTTACTAATAAGTTTCCGTACTGCTCCAGTTTTAAGTTAAGCTAAGCATATGATATAACTGCATATACTCTACAATAAATGATAATGATAATTTCGACTAATTTTGACGCCAGGGGAAGGGACTGCCTGGAATTCCCCGCATCCAAATGCAATTACATATTTAGATCAGGTGATCCATCGTACACCGATGATATATATGATATGACCTTTTCAAAAGTAACAAGAAAGGAATGCTAAAGTCGAGCAGGCTCAACTCTCAAATACCCTGTACCACCCCACAAAAAAGAAATTAAATTAATTAATTAATTTAATTAAATTAAATTAAATTAATTAAATTAATTAACTAAATTAATTTAATTAATGAACTAAATTAAATATTCCATGCATGCACACATACATTTACATTTACATCAGAACCGTGCCTTATGCGTGTTTGTGTACTTGTACATATGTATGTATGTGTGCATTGGGCCTGGTTATATGGCTATAACGTTCTTTCTGATCAACCTATCATAATGAAACTTGGTATACGGATATATAATTACTAACTGGATGTGTCTACCAAATTTTAGTTTAAAATTCCAAGAATTACGGGAGTTATAGAAAATCGTTAATAGGGGGGGAGTGGGGGGGGGGGGGGTGGATCAGAAAAAATGAACAAACTCGTCCTTTCTCGGGCTCAGAAGAATCTGTATACCAAGTTTGGTTATTCTAGCTCTTATACTTTCGGAGATCCTTGCGTTCATACAGACAGACGGACAGACAGACGGACAGACAGACAGATGGACAGACGGACATGGCTATATCCGTTAATGGCCAAAGGTCACCTCAATTTGTGGAACCCCACGGGGCACTATCGGAGTTGAGAGTTGATGAACTTGTTCAACTCCTTGCCGTAGAAAAAATCCTACAGTTAACTCTTCAATATGCCCGTGATTCTACCAACTAATTCAGCATCGTGCTTCTGGGCTTTATGTACCTTGGCGTCTCGCAATACCTTAGCTACCGCCTTTATGGTGGAAAAGATCGCGTTTTGCATTCCGAGTAGTTAAGTTCTTTTTCTTTTTTGGTAAATACAAAGTTCTTAAGGTAAAATTAAAAACTAAATGAATTATAAATTATGAGTAGTTAAGTTAAAATTGAAAAATTACTGCTTCTTAAACCTTTTTCCGGAATCTTAATAAACACCGTAAAAAGCTTTCTCCCATTTTCGGAATAGCGTAGGTTTTTCAGTTCAAAAGCATTAGAATTAGAAGTGATATTTCAAATGTCACTGTTTTACAAATTAATTCGTTTATGAAGCTGAAAAATTTGCAATTTTGCAAATCTCTTTGTTCTTTCCATTCGTAAAAGCTAGGAAGTTTTTTCTAAAAATAATGGCCGGATTATAACGGTTTTTTCACAGTAGCCTGTTTAATTTATTTTTGATTCAAAAAATACATTCCTTAAGAACTACAGATTAGTAAAAACCCAATAATATAGTATGCTTCCTTTTTTTGGTCAAGCTAGCATTTTATTAATTATTAAGGCTAAAGGGCTTTAACTCTTAAATTATGTTTTTTAATCACTGATATAGTGAACTTTTCATTCCTCGTGACATATCCACATAGTATATTCATAAACCCCTGTGCCACTATAATTCACTTACCGAACTTCATACCTCAACACACTGTGTGATACTGAGAAAAAAAAACAATGGATTTTGTAAACAAATACATACGAGTGTATATGTAGTAAGTGGAAAACAAGAACCAAAATCTGGACAAATTAATGTCAACATTTCAATCTAAATAGAGAATTAAAACTGAAAAAATTGGCAGCCCTTTGTCTCATACATATGTACATGCAAATATTCCATTAGTCCATTTGATATTTTGAAACAGAGCCGCATTAGTTTAGTTTTAAGCGAACAAAGGAACTCAATCACATAAAACATATTTTTCTTTGTTTAATATAAAACTACATTATTAATTTATAAATATTTAAAAGAAACAAAAATTAAGTTTCTTTTGCACATATCCATTGCAAATAAAAAAACTTTTACTTTAATTAATAGGAGCAGAGACCGAGCAATTTCCAATCAGCTTCTCTATGACAAAGAAAATAAATTGCAATCTGATTGAAGAAAGACTCAATCAATTAATGAAAAGAATAAAATTATTATTTTTTTGTTAATATATACGACATTTTTAATTACTTTTAAACTGGTATCCTACTGATCATAATACATCAATTTACACATAAGAACTTTACACATATCTAAATTAGTATTTTATTAATTATTTTAATTAAATAAATGAATTTTACTTATTTATACTATCGACATTTTGCCCTTTAACTGTGTTATTGTTTAATTATTTTATTGTAATTTTTTCTTTGCCATCGTGTAGTAACTACCACAGTAATTAAAAGTAATACGAGTAATACTTGTCTAGAATACATACGAAACTTTTTTGTGTGTAAAAGAAAAAGCCCTAGTCTAGTTCTTAAAACTTTAAAGCTTTAAAGAGCTTGAGCCTTGTTGTTTACCCTACAGCTGTGGAAACTTTCTTCTTCATAAACACGCAACCCACGTCAAAGTTGCTGGCGCTACATCAAAATGTTGACAGTTGTTGTTGGACAAGAGGCGCAGACAACAACAACAGCATGAACGCCTCGCCACCCAAACACAAACACCTCTGCGACAGCGACACCGACGCCAACAGCGACAGTGGCGTCGTCAGCGTCGTCGTCGGCGTCGACATTGACGTTGACGACGGCTGCAAAACAAAGCGTCCAGTAACGAGCCACCTCCTCCCAATGCCCATGTGAACGTTTTTGAATTCGTATATCAATGTGTGTTGTTATGCTTTGATGCGTTTATGTTTGGCGATCCAGCAACACCAATGAAACTCACTTGGCGCTCATCATTAATCCCCACATCAACAACAACAAAACTAAGGCGAGCGGGCAAATGAGACGAACACCAACAGCAATATGACAACACGCTCGCACCATTGCAGATGCGACATGGCGAGCTAAATTGAAAAAAATCATTCATAGTTTTTCTATATTTAGTATATGGAGGTTTTAATATAAAAATGTATGTATATATGCTAAATATAACTAAAAATCGACTAATTCCAAAGTTATACCCATTCTCCACATACATTTGCATTTACTCATTATTTAGTTGAGAGGAAAATTTTTGAAAAAAAACTGAATCTACTATACTTAGGCATTCATTAACTCTTCGTTTATTTGGACAATGAAATCCAGTCAATCGCCATTTCACTAACCGCTTTTAGGGTCATATTCTTGAAAAATTTAATTCCACTCATTAAATGCATTTTTGTTTTGCTCTAAAAAGGGTATAAAAAGGTGACAGCACAGCAGAATCAATAACACTTAGTTCTTCGGCAAAATATATATTTTCTCTTTCTTTTCCACTACTTTTTCGAAAATATGTTTTTGTACCTACTTGAAAAAATCTAAATATACTAGCTTCAGTTTAAGAAATATTGTCGCACTGCAGGATTTGTAGAGAAGAGCTGTGAACAGCTGATCAACAAAATCGAAATAAAAACCTTTCAAAGTGCAATATAGAATACCCCTAGCACTTAACAAATATGTCAAGCAACTTAGTTAGCATAGTGTGAACGAATATAAAAACACAGACGCACTAAAAAATACAAGCCCCTCAAACTAAAATAGTAGCGGCTAAAACAAAAATTAAATGACGGCACACAAGAAACCCCGACTGTGCCTAATGTTGTTGTTGTTTACACGCTATTCCAGATGACTATATATATGAGCAACAACAACAAGAGACAACAACTAGTTGCGGTCGTTCGCTCACCAAGCTCATGCTCGCGCCGCAGTCTGCTTTAATGTCAGCAACGACGACGCGAAGCGACGTAAATGCCCGTCCGTCCGTCCGTCCACCAACAAAGGAGCGGAACATAAAATTTTTCAGCACACAGTACAGCTCGATTCAGTTGTTTGGGGAACTTAGTGCGAGACGTATCTATATAAATCGATCGCGGTCGAACGCGCGCTTTATTGAAAACAAACACACAGTTACTGGCATACAAAAACGGCAAAGTAAATAGAATAATTTATAGTTACCCAGCTACCTACAAATAATTAATAATAAAACAAAACAAAGAAAAAACAAACTGTGCAAAAATCATAAACTGGAAATTGTAAAGCTCAGGGTTCCAAGACCGGTTTCAAGTGCATGAACAACAAATAAATAAATACGAGCTGCCTTTATTCTCAAAAACAATTGCAAAATCTTTTCATGTACTTATGTACATTTGCATATATGTATGTATGTTCGTATGTATGCATAGTATGTCTCTTTAACTCATCAATATGAGGAGTCGAAATTAAAATTAAACTTTAATTACGCGTTGTTTCAATTAAAATGTTCAAGATATTTGTTCCAGTTGAAGGTCATTGCGAGTGCTCATCAATAAAATAAATAAACAGAATGCATGACCACTGTCGTACATACATACTTATACGTATATAAGTATTATACATATTTTTAAATGCCAATTGCGTGCCTCAAACATCATAACAGAGTAAATGCCAGACATAATAATTATAATTTAAAAGCACGCAATATATTCACTCTACAATGGAGCGGTCTTTGTTTCTAACTTGTGGTCGCCGCTCTTCAGTGAAAATGATCCAACAAATTTTCTTTCAATTTTCGGAATTTTCCATACACAATACAGAAATGTCATCGTTTGCATTGAAAAATGTATGCCTGTTTTGAATTCTTCTCCCTATATATTCAACAGGTTTATTTTTAATTTAGTCATCAAGTCCATGAGTGAGTCTGTGTGTCGCCCCATTGACGTCACATATTATACGCGCGTGTGCAACAATAAATGGGGCAACAACTCGGCGCATTAATTTCTTAGAATTTTCAAAATCAAAGCTAACCACTACATTCGCTTTCCCGCTACCAAAACAAATCAAACAACAAATCAACATTTTTACAATGTTACTATATTTACATAGGGAGCTAAATATATATATCAAAGAAAATAGTTTCTTTTACAGAATATGAAGCAATAGAGACTGCATTTTCAATTTACTTTGCAGGAACATGATACCAAGAAATATGGGCTTAGACTGATGCTTTTACTGACATTAGTGAAAGGGCTTTAAAACCCTTTCTAGCAAGTTAAAACCTTGTTGTATTTATTTAAGGAAACATTTTAAGTTTATTTTAGTGATGAGAAATCAAATTATTGATTAATTGGTTCCTCATTACAGAAAATAAAATTTAAAACACAATACTAAGCTAAAATAATAACTCTCTTGATATGAAATAATTGATTACTCCAAAAATCGAAGTTATAAATAATTTTTATACTCTGTACATGAAATGTACAAGAGTATATTAGGTTTGCGGGAGCTGAAAAATGTAACAGGCAGAAGGAGGCGTGGCAGACCCCACAAAGTATATATATTATTGATCAGCGTGACAAGACGAGTCGATCTAGCCCTGTCTGTCTGTCTGTCCGTCTGTCCGTCTGTCCGTCCGTATGAACACCTGGATCTCAGAGACTATAAGAGATAGAGACACCAAATTTTCCACAAAGATGCGTTATGTGTGTATTCTATACGAGTTTGTTTTATTTTTTTAATTTTCCCCACCACTTCCCCCCTATGGGGGTTTTCTCGATTTTCCATTCGTATAATCGCCTATATCTCGGAGACTATAAGACCTAGGAACACCAAATTTTAGTCCAAGATGCCTTGTGTGAATACGCAGAAAATGTATATTTTGGAATTCCCCTCCCTCCCCCCTCTCCCCCGCAACTGCGATTTTCTCTAACTCCCGTAATTCTTGGCTAAAATTTTGCAAATACTCCCAGTTAGTAATTATGTGTCCGTATGCCAAGTTTCACTATGATAGACCGATTTACCAAGAAGTTATAGCCATAAATATATTTGCTGCTGCAGCGCTGCTCAAGCGCTGCCCGCGGCTGTTGTTGATGTTGCTGTTTGGTTGACTGCGAAAATGCTTACACAGACACGAATTGATGCGCATAGGCATACATACACTCACACAGACGCAATTGCTATGTAAATGTGCAATTATACACCCTTTACGTGAGTTCGAATACCGAGAGAGGTAAAATCGATCCAATTTTTTTTTCTTTTTTTTTTTTATTTTCTATAATTATTGTAAACATATGTACAGAGTATTTCAAAGTCGGGACACCCGACTTTAGCTTTTTTACTTGTTACTTTTTGACATTTGAAACAAACTCACACGTTTATTACATAAAGATTTTCGCGTCTAATAAATCTGAGTATTATTAAATAAAGCTCGAAAGAATAATATGGAATAATTCTGTTGCATTGTTTTATGAGTTTTTATGGAAAACAATGAATCCAAAATACTTAGCTAACCAGGAAATTGAAACATATGTATGTAAGATTATAGCAAGAGAAGATAAATGTTTCAAAATTAGCCAGCAGCTTTATAAATACACAAAAAAAACAAGTTATGTTTTTTCAACTGGGGCTATTAATACATGATATACTTATGTTAACTTGTCCAAAGAAAAACAAAATAACAAATTTGTATAGCCCTGAATTTATTAGACTCCAAATTCGGGTGCTGTGATTCTTAATTATGTGCATCACTAAATAATTTCCCTTACACATTTTATTTCATTTTTCAGCTGCTGATTTACTTAATTGTCAATATCTTTTCATTAATAGATGTATGTAGATTCATTGATATACGTATGGGAACTTCCCATTTCGCTGCAAGTCATAATATTACGCCAGTGTTTGTACAATTGCGCTAACTTCGGCCTATTTTTCGAAAGGCTACACTTGTCCAAACAAGCCCAGCCACTCGGCTTACAACAGTAAGCCACACATAAGAGCAGCTTTTGATGTCCAATTAAATTCGTACCATTTCGTTTTTGCTCATTTCTTTTTACCCACACTCTTGTTTATTTTTGTATTTGCTTGAACCTTTCCGTTGTGTACTTATGTTTTTTATTTTGTGCAACTTGACTTAGGTAACCGTAAAATATGATCGTAGGCGAAGAGAAAGATGAAAAAGCTAAAAACCTGGTTTGTTGCAATAAACAAGCAATTTCAATGAGTTTTACACTCACGTTAGAGCTTCGAAAATATTGAATCTCGATTGTACAGATGAATGTGTAATGTGTATCGATCTACTCGTACATACATATATTTATATACTTGTATAATGCGAGCTTGACTTTTCACCCCAAACGTGATAAGCCATATTTGCGCAATTTTTCTGGTCCGTCTGCGCTTTTGCTTGTTTTCAATGAAATTTCTAAGAAAATTTCAGCGACGTAAAAGCAACAGAGAAATGGAAACCCAAATAGCAAGCAATTACGAGATAGTTGAATGACGTCACAGCCACGCATGCGCTTCATCGAATTGTTGTCCGGCTTTTCATAGCATGAGTCACCCAGTTAATTAAAATTGTTTTTAAAATGCGCCGCATCTAATGCAAATATGTTTAAAACAATGGCTTTGCTGAAACTTTAGTGTAACAAAAAAAAAGTTGTTGTGCCCCGTTTTAATGGGATGCATCAAGGTCAACGATTTGAGAGAAGGGAAAGGTAATTTTTAATACTCTACACGCGTCCTCATTTGACAGATTTTGCACAATAAACTAAAAATCTTTCTTCTGAACATAAACATTTTATTGATAAGCCCGTGAAACAGGTTTGCTCTCCAGAAATAACTTGTTTTAAGTTAACTTACATCGGGCCTTAATTCAAATAAGAGATAATAAGGAGGGAATGCTGCAATCGAGCACGCCCGATGTTGAAATACACTTTAAATAAATAACATTCCGGCGCTGAAATTTATGCCTATATCGGAAGTAAGAAGAAGAAGAAGTAGATCAGTTTGTAGGTGTAGTACTCGAGTGAAAATGTTTCGCTAACAAATGAAGTGAATTTAGACTGATTTGAACAAAATTGAAAACAAAAGTAGAGAATTGTGTATAGATTACGTGTGCAAAATTTGGTTTAGAATTATGGGCAGTACTGACAAAATTCCGTACCAGGGCTAAGGGGAAATCACAAAAAATAAAATAAACTCATGCTGACTGGGGATAAGGAGAGCCAATATAGAAAGTTTGGTCAATATGGGATCAGCAATGTCCGCAATCCAGGCGTTCATCCAGACAGACAGACATATCCAGATCGATTTCCCTTGTTATGCTGATTAAGAATATAGTCTTACGTACTTAATGCAGCCCTGTTACAAATTTTGCTGCTAATATACCCATTTTACCCATCGGGTACAGGGTATAAAAACTGGTAGAAAAGTTTGACACGGCTCCATAGTTGATTACTTATTCTAAAGGATGGGGAAATTCTTTATATTCTTAACTTAGGCTATGAATAATATTAACAAATCGATTTTTTCCACAAATGATGTAGAGAATTTACGCATTTCCATTCTCAATAATGGATCTGTTTCCATTTTCGTAACTTTCTAAACAGTAAAATCTATGCCTTTCTTACTCTATAATGTTTCTATAGCAATGGTGGTCTGCGTCCCCTTCATCATCCAACAGTCCTGGTGCGACCCGCATATAGGGATTCGGTCCTCACAAAGCTAGGTTATGCTGGCGGCACACATTTCCAGCCTAATTAAAAACTACTCATGAGAAATTCGAGCATAAATAAATCAATATCGAAAAATTTGTGAATCAATTGTTTTAGAAACAAGCTTGCACCATTAGAGATGAATTTATAAAACGCCTTTCTGTTCTGGTAGTAACAAAAAAGAGTATATTTATTTAGGGCCTGCCACGTTAAAATCTTGTACCATGGCTTCCATTTGACAGACAAAGATAATATGTTGAGACCGACTGCCAAACAAAATTGTTATGATTGAAACTAATTGAATATTGAAAATTTTAATTTTTTATTTATTGAGCATTTTATTATTGTAAAATACAGTGAAGATAAATACTTAAAAGCCTGTTAGCAACAAATTGTTATGGGAAGAAAGTGTTTAAATAATAACACACTATTTAATTTTTTTTTTTTGAACACCCAATGCGGCTTTAATTCATATGAACTACAGATTTCAAATTTTCTCACCTTGTCCCACAAACCTGACCTTTAAGACAGCCCACATTTATTCGTAGAACGATTTTCATTTCGTTTAGCTGTGGACTCAGGCCGCGCCTAGCCATAAGCATGAAAATGCTTTATTAATTACAACAAAAGCACACCAAAGGCGAACCAACGAAAAATGTAACAGGAACGTCTGACGTTTTGGGGACGGACAGAGACAGAGTCAATGATGTGTAGCCACGCGATGAGCCTCGGCACTCGACCAAATCGGCAAGTTAATTTGTATTAAGTAGGCGCCCGAGACACGCATAACGCGCTTTGAATTGGGGCAGACGAGTATAGAGCCTAAGATGGTAAAAAAAAATATTACGTCAGCGTTTGGAAACATGAGCTAAGCATGACCAAATTCGATAGCAACTATTGCAAAAATGTTAAATATCAATCTACATATATATGCATCCAATGGTTTTCTATTTCTATAATTAAGAAATTAAAACATTGCTACCTGGGGTGCTTAAAGGGTTTGTTTCTTTTTTTGTAGAACATTTCCATAAAGACGATTTTGTACCAGTTAATTATTTTTAATAAAGTGGCGATTGCTAGTAGGCTAAGCAAGGTTTAGAGAGGTGTCAGGGCCCTCTTCGTGTAAATACTATTGTATTGTTAAACCAAAATGTATTCATTATAAAGAAAATAAAATAACTCCACCTCATCAGGGAAATCCGAAGATCTTGTTCCTTGAGCTGATATCAGCAGGAATACTGTCTTATAAGGCGAATGCAATTATGCAGACAGCATCCTTTCTAATGGTAACAGTAACACCTATACAAGTTAGTAGAGCTATAGACAATAGATGAGGAAGCTCCTTTTCTACTACTTCCCAGCATTACGACATTTTCCTTTTAAAATATATAGAAATTTTTGTTGAGACGTCAAACCACTAGCCCGAAAAAAAAGTAAGCTTTCTTCAAGCAGTTTTAGCTTTACAAAATATTTTATTTTTGAGAGCCACCTAATAATAAAAATGTATTTAAAGATATTGTTAAGATATACCGTATTCAAAAATAAGCACAAATAAAGTATATGTGTAGTATATGATCAGTAATGATTTTGATGGCTTCAAGGGTTTGACACCCAGTTATGTTTTCAGATTTTTCCATAGGGTGAAAAATGTATACATTAAATGGTTCACTTTATAAGTCTATATTGTTCAACCAAAGAAATAATATTTTAAACACGTTACGTGAAAAGTCTCGGACCCTAATTTTTGCTTGATGGCCTCAGCTAGCTGAGTTAACAATTATGTCTAGAATTACAATATTGCTTCGTTCAGAAGAAACTAATCACTAATCGCCTTAAAGTAGGTGAAAAGATACCGTTTTCTCTGAGCAAATAAATCTATTTTATTGAAATTCTTTGCAACATGCACGACAAACAAGCACATTTCAAAAAGTAATTGTCTGTGTTTACACTATACTACAACAAAAAGTGGGACCCATCGTGCCCACACATGATAAGACTTGTGTATTATTAGCGCAAATTGAATCAATTGTTTATGCAAAAACAAATTTAAGCCCCACATAAATGAAGAATGACAAACTCTCAGAAATTAAGCTAAACAAGACCGAGGCATACGTATAGCACTTGCGAGTAAAGCAATGGGAAAAAGAAAAACCCATCCCTCAAATACATCATAATTGTACCCCTGCTGAGGGAATGAGATTTTAACACATAGAATGAGAATACGAGCTTGTTCGACTGATTGAAATACTAGGAAGCGCAGATTTGGACAGAAGCTTGCCTTTAAGAAGCGACTTTGAACAATTCTAAGCTCAAGAAGGGAAAAGTAGCCTCAGAGTTTTAAGGAAAAAGTAGTATTTCTCATCCGATCGACTTCAAACTCAAAGAAAGATATTCACAAGCGCACATTTATTTTGGTCTTAAAATGTTGTTTATTGTTTTTTAAAGTTTATTTGATTGATTTCAATATTTGGGTACAAATACAAGCAAACAAGACAAAAGACACATAAAATTTTCAAAACTTTAATTAGCAAACCAAAAATGGCAAACATTTTGAAAAGATTTCTAGATTTTATTTACGAAGAAGTAAAGGCTTCAATAAACTCTTCCGAAGCTATGTAAACGACGATGTTGTTTCCTTATCAAAGAGCAGACTGTCTAAGAATTCAAGTTAGAAGAGGCGGGCTCAATTAACTAACAAATATCAAACACTCAAGTGCTGAAAAACTTGCTCAAAAACAAATATATATTAGATACTATTTACAATTATATATCATATTTTGTTCACAAATTCTTAAATCTATTTTCTTTGATCACAGAATGTCGCGCATGTCAACGCGACTGAGCAGCATCCTTCTGCTCCTCCTGGTTCTGCTAGCCACGCAAGACGCGCAGGCTAAGCGCTGGTATGGGGGCAGCAGCAGTCGAGGACGTACCGGCAGCTCCAGCTCCTACACACCACGACGTACTTCATCTTCGTCACAGAGCAGTCATGCTTCACGACCCTCATACAGTAATTCGGACCTCACAAAGCTGAGTTATGCTGGCGGCACACATTCCCAGCCTAGTCGCACTCAAGTGCAAAAAACACAGAGTGCTCCCCGCCCGGCCACAGCTTCACCCATTGGCTGGAATGTGCCGGCGAAGGCACAGGGTCCACCACCTGCATATTCAGCCAGCAACCCCATCGGTGGTGCTAAGACAAATATTCATGAACCTCCACCAGCCTATAATCCATCGTATAAGACGAATGCTGCACCACCCAGCTACTCGGCTGCTTCCAATTCTCGACCAGCTGCTGGTACTTCGCATAGCAACACCAACACGCACTACACGCCAGCCACCAACTACCGCCCCCGCAACGCGACAGGTGGTTTCGGTGGTGGTAGCTACTCACCGATTTCTGCGACCAACACGCACAGCCTACAATCAAGTTATCCACGCCAGCAGACTGGTTTGCCGGCGGGTGCCACTTATCATCCCGCTGGTCAATTGCCTGCCGGAGCTACTTACCATTCTGCTGGTCAATTGCCTGCTGGAGCTACTTACCATTCTGCTGGTCAATTGCCTGCTGGAGCTACTTACCATTCTGCTGGTCAATTGCCTGCTGGTGCCACCTATCATCCCTCAGGCTATGCTCCACCTGCTGGTGCTTCATATCATCCTGCTGGTCACGTTCCACCTGGCGCCACTTACTATCCAACGGGCGGCGTACCTCATGGAGCAACATACTATCCACAAGCACCAGTGGCAGCTGCCGTACCGGCTGGTGCCACGTTCTTGCCCGCTGGCGCAGCTATACCCGCCGGTGCCACCTACTATCCACAGGCGCCTAAGTCCTCTTCTGGCCCTGGTTTGGGTAAGTGACTTCTACCCCGCGGGGAATCGAAGCTTCGACACTAACACTTTGATTTTCTTAAAGGCACTGGACTTATTGCTGGCGCAATTGGTGGTGCTGTCCTGGGTCACGTACTCACGCCCAGCCGTACCAGCTACAGCGGCGGCTACGGGGGCGGCGGCTACGGAGGCGGTGGCTATAGCGGCGGTGGAAATGCGGCACAGAGCGGTGGCGATGACAAGATCATTATCATTAACAATGGACCGCCTGGCTCAGTTACTGCTACCGAAGTGGGCTCGGGTACCACTGTCATCAATGCCGGTGGACAGCAGCCAGCTCCAGCAGCAGCTCCAGCAGCAGCTCCAGCAGCAGCCCCCGCAGCACCTGCGCCTGCTGCTATGCCTGTACCCCCCAGCCCAAAAGCTCCAGCTCCGGCACCTGGAGCAACTGACCCGCAAACACCGTTGGCCCCCTTAACACCAGTCCAGACTGCTCCTGCTTCCGCAGGTACTCCGACTGCAGCTGTTGCTCCCGTTGCTAATGCTGCTGCAGAGCCGCCAACACCATCTCCAGCTGCAGATCCAAACGCCGCTGCAACACCCGCACCGGGAGGCATTATTTGTGTACCTGTCCGTGTCCCCGAACCAGATCCAAACGATGCTACCAAAACTATTGAGGTAGAAAAGATTGCTTGCTATCCTGCACCACCGCCAGAGCCTGCAGCAGTACCGGCTGCCCCCACAGACACCAATGCTGCCCCTCCAGCTACCAATAGTGCTCCAGCAACCTCTCCGCCAGCACAGCCAGCTGTGACAGCATCTCCCGACTCTCCGCCCCTAGCACCATTCCAAACAACACCCTTCAATCCACCAGAAGGCTCGGTGCCCTTAGCACCGCTGCTGCCCGGCGCCCAACCCGATATCATGCGCATGCCTGGCAATCAGCATTTGACGTCGGCCCGTCTGTCCTCCGAGTCGGGTATACATGACGCACACAATGGGGTCAAACCCTTTACCCCATTAAGCACCATATCTGCGCTACTGACTCTGATTGTGGCATACTACCTGCATTAAGTCCGAGTGGTGTGCGTCCCTGAAAAAGCTTTTACTCAATTTATGTATAATCCTGTTTGCCAGCCATTCAAGTGGGGATCGCATAAGGAACAGATACATTGCTTTATTTTATTCTAAACCAAATGAATTTTTGTATGTAGCATATTTAGAAACTAATAAATAAAATACAAATTATTAATTAGATGACGAACGATTGTTGATTCTCTTTTTTATAGAATGCTAGAGTCACGTGCAGCCGACTGAATCTGAATCCGGACAGAGGGACATTCATAGAATGCCGATCAAAAATATATATTCTTAAAGTCTTGAAGTCTCAACAAAATACAAATTAATTAGATAACGGTCGAATGTTGACCGAATGTTATGTTCATATACTTATACGCCTCCTTCTGGACGACTTAATAATAACATTTTTTATAACAACACATACTATACAGACCCGCCATAAGCGACAATTGAAAGGGTTGCCAACGTGTTTGCTATTAAAAAACTGCTCGCATCTACGCAGTGTTGCCGTTTAGACACAAAATAAAATGGTGCAGCAACACTAAAAATTCAAGAGCTTTAAAATAAACTGAAAAGAAAATATTTTATTACAGTTTCAAATTTTTTTAAATTTTAATCATTTTTGCTTTCGAACTGTCTCTTATTTGAATATGCAAGTATTATTGCTCCAATCTTCGAATCTTAGACTTAAATGAATTTAAATGTTTAGTGTTTAAATTATAAAGTACAAACCTCTAAGATTTGATTTGAATAATCCGATTGCACATAAGCGTAGATTTAAGTGAAAGTATTAATTTTGATTTGTTTTTCTTTCAAAAATAAACTTAAGCCTAGCCGTAATTTGTCTGTGAATTTTTCCCCGATTAAATATCAATGGTGTTTTTTTTTTTTTTTTTTTTTATTTGGTCCACACAAAAATAATAAAAATGAGAATCAGTAAAATCTATGTAAATCCCGCAAAATTTCACAAAACTTGTCGCCCTTATCTGCCTCATGTACTGTATTTCAAGATCATCAGCCAAAAGAACAGGAAACAGTTCAATAAAGCTGATAACCATTGATTATTGTAGCGCTCGAAACGAGAGAAAACCTCTTAGTTAGGCAGCAAATCTCAAGCGAGCAAGTGCGAATTACTGATTACTTGGAAAATTTAAATAATTACTTAGTAGTATGTCGCAACTAAGAATGCGACTGGGCAGCCGAATCTTAGGTCTAGCTTTCATAGTGCTGTTGGCCACAAATTCCGTGCAGGCTAAGAAACCACCACCCAAACGTCCTTCATCGATGTCCAGTGGTCATGGTACAGCACCTTCGTATAGCAATTCAGATCTGCATAGGCTGAGCTATGGTGGTGGATCACAGAGTGTTCCAGCTGCGGCAGCAAGTCCTCCTAAATCAGCGGGTCAAATGGCTCCCAGGACCAACACTACGCACTTTACTCCTGCTACCAACTACCGACCACACTCGAACTCGACCAGTGGTTTTGGTGGAGGTGGTTTTAATAACACCTCATTCCCATCAAACAGCACGCACGGCTTTGGTGGAGGTGGTTTCAATAGCACCTCATTCCCATCAAACAGCACGCACGGCTTTGGTGGAGGTGGTTTTAATAACACCTCATTCCCATCAAACGCCACACACGGCTTCCACTCAAATTTTACACACCAGCAGGCTGGTAACGTTGGTTATTTGCCTCCTGGGACAGAATTTTCCTATCCTGGCCAGCAGTCACATTATCCGAGTCACCAAGCCGGCAACTTCTATCCTCCACCCGGTGCCACTTACTTACCCGCTGGATCCCCATTGCCAGCCGGTGCACAGTTTCAACCGCAGCCACAGCAATCCTCATCTGGACTAGGCTTGGGTAAGTCCTAGGCTAGGTTCAATAATACATACTCTAATATATGTCTTTAATGTAGGCACTGGCCTCATTGCCGGCGCTATTGGTGGTGCTGTTTTGGGCCATGTACTGACGCCAACGGAGACTAAAGTCGTGAATCAAGCCCCGCCTGCTGGTGATGCTGGCAGTGCTGATAAGATCATTATCATCAATAACAATGCACAGCCTGGAACCGTCACGACTGCTGAAGTGGCAGCGGGCACAACCATCATCAACACTGGCGTTCCACAGACTACGATATCGCCAGCTGTTGTCCAGCCCGCAGTAGTTCAAGCTGCTTCCACCAATACGTCTGCAGTTCCCACTTATTTCAATATACCCGATGGATTTGTGCCACTCTCTCCGATGGTACCCGGCGCTCACCCCAGCCTCATGCGAATTCCAGGTGCAGTGTATCTTTCTCCAGATTCGGGTCTTCACGATGCACACAATGGAGCTAAACACTTCTACGCATCGTCAGTTCTGACCCTAGTGGTTGCCTACAGCCTATTCTAGACGCCTTCCGGCACTTCTTATGAATTGAAAACGTGAATCAAATAAATATTACTTTATTTTGTAACTTTCCCTGAAAACTTTTATACGTTTTTTTAAAAGTGTTAATTGATTCTGTGGATTAGAATTCCTAAAATGGTTAAAGATCTGGGAATTGAGAAACGAAGCCGAGAAAGAAGCTTCTAATAACTTTCTTTAGCTTTCACAAAAGGTGACACCAAGTACTAAACGAATAAAGAAAAAACAAACAATTTTTATTAAAAATACTTAAATTATTCGAAAATTTTGATACCCAATACATTTTAAATGCGTTACAGTACAAATTTAAATTGTACTAAGTTGCAAAGACCAAAAGGAAAACTCCATTAATTGTTTAAAAAGTAAAACGTTTTTACGGCACATGCTGCCTTCTCCATGCAGAGTTGCCAGACCTGTTGAAACAATTGCGTCTGCCAGTTTGTAAAAATCAAAAGCTCATGAATGAAAGGTTCAAATATTGGAAAACTTGTGTATCTCTTAGCCAATGCAGCCACCAGTGGGAAGTTTTGGATTTCGTTTTTCCCCTCAATTCAAAATTGTGCAAATTTTTCTCAAAGGAAAATCGAATTTATTGCTTGACATGATAATACAGTTTCCGAAAAATTATACTTAAATGTGCTGTGAGTTTGTGTCAGTTGTGATCTTAATTTTTAAATTCTGATAATTTTATTTTACTAATTTATTTCCTTAGCAATATAAAAATATACATACTTGTAGGTACTATTAAATAAAGAAAAATATATTTTATTTCAATAAGCTACTTACTAAAAGTGTAAAATACATGGATAGTCGAAAAATTTAGGCTGATGCTATGATTTTCAATTTCTTTTAAAGAATTGACGTATACATTCGTCTCAAAAATAAATCTTTTAAAGTTTTGACTAAGTTTGGCAAACTCTACTGGTTAATGGGCCCACGCTCAAAGCTGAGTTTGAAGAGAAGTAAGAAGACACTTCAGTTAAAATTGAAAAAACAGCAAAAACCTGACAAAAAAAAACGCATTTAAATTTTTTTTAAATAAAAACACTAAGTTTAAAATAAAAATTTGCTGCAACAAAAAAAAAACAAAACAAAACTATATGTATTCAGAAACTAATATTTAAAAAAAAAATTGATATGAAAAAGGATTTAACACAAAAGGATTTAAGCCCCTAGTACATTAAAATATTATTGTAAACTATTTCAACACAAAACAGTCCTGTATGACGTTTCACAAGTAAAGGCCATCACATAATATTGAAATAAATAAATCAAATAAAAATTAAAGAAATCAGCGACACTGAAGAGGCGAGTACAGCAATCACATCGACCACCTAGATGGGCTGAAGAATGACGGTGAGTGGACCAGCGAGCTGGCAATAAATCGGCAATTTTTTTTTCAGAAGGGGTCGATTTTAATTTTTGTCACCAAAGGGATATTGAAAAGAATTAAACACAAAAATTAAAAAATTATGAATATAATATCCATAGTATTTTACAAAATTATTGTAAATTATTGCAATCCAAAACAATCCTGTATAACGTTGCACAAGTAAAAGCCAACGCATAATATTGAACTAAATAAATCAAATACAAATTAAAGAAACATTACAAATTATTAAAAAGGCAAAGAAATAGGTAAGATGTTGTGCGCACAAGAGCCAAATGAAAATGGAAGCGATTAGGTCTGAGTAGAACGAACAAAAATTTCATGGCTTGCTACAAAAGAAAAACTAAAGAAAAATTGATGTGTCAGGGCGACACGCAATAGAAGTGGAATTTAATGGTTGTATTGGAATAATTTAATTTGAGTTTTTTTTTGCTTAAATTGGTGAGGGGTCTTAATAAGTATTAATCAAGATGTTTGACTAATGTAAATGGGTCTTGAAAAAAAATGGCTAGAAAATGGTTATCGTTTTCGGTTATTAAACTAAAAAACCGCTAGAAAATGGCTTTAAAACCCTCTATGCATAGCTTCAAAAACCCATTATATAATCAATTATAGGTAGCTGGAGAAATAGAAAATCTGCTTGGAAACCGCACGAAAATGTCACTAAAAATATATAGAAAAGCCGCTAGGAACTGACTAAAAACACCGCTATCAATAGCTATAAAAACACACTAAAAAATAGGAAGAAAAAACGCCGTCACCGATGGTTGCTAATGCAGCTTTCAAAAGCCTCAAACATTGCAGTTCCATTTCGCATCAAAATTAAATTCTGGAATAAAACAAAAATCATAACCAACCAGGTGGTAATAAATAAGCAGAAGGCAAATCAATTGCTGACGAATACGTGTTTATGTTCATGTACCATCAGAATGTACCGTTAGGTTCATGCACGTATCTTCATGCCACAGCTGGTCTACTTGTTGTTTGTCACAGAAAAGGTTGCCGATGCACCATTTAAAACCCTCACATACAAAGTTTCACTTAAAAAAAAAAGATTTCCGATTGCCAAAGTAGAGTTGCAAATACATGTTAGATGTAAATGGTTTATTTGGTCTGTTTTTATCTGGTTTTATCTGGTCTATTTGCCGTTCATTAATTACCGCAGAAATTAATAATCACAGAAAAGGTTGCCGATGCAGCATTTAAAACCCTGACATAAGAAGTTTCGCTTCAGTAGAAAAGATTGCCAAAGTAGAATGGCAAATACATGTTAGATGTAAAGGGTTTATTTGAACCTTATCCATTATATGACCCATGTTCTAATAATATTTTCGGGCTGGCCCGGTGGTAAAGCTTAGTTCGGGGGAACGCATACTTAGTTCTTTGTTGAACCATTCCTTCATCGACACCACCCAACTCTGCATGTAGGTGCGATGGGTGTGTATCTCGATCAGGCGATTCAGCTCGTCCTGTCTCTCCCTTGACAAGCGCAGATCGTTTTCATAGTAGGCGTCGTAAATGCCTTCCACTATATCGGGGCGGCAATTGGTAACTGGCACACTAATGGACTTAAAGCCGGACATGAGGGCGCTGGCCACCAAAGCACTAGAGCCCTGGAATATAACACGTCCACTTCGCAAACATTTCTGCCCCATTTCCAGATCGCTGCTAACAAAGTGAACACCCAGAAAGTTTGGAATGATCTTCTCGGCCTTGGCACAGAACTCCACCATGTCTACTGTGGATTGCAGTTGTAAAATATATTGAACAGGAATACTGTATATTCCAGCTTACAATCCACTCCCGTCATTGACGGTATATGGTAGTAGAAGAAGGGCCGCGTTCGACAATGTTCCGCCACAAGTCGACAATAGGCCACCAGCTGGTCCACATCGCGTGGCCTAAAGAATAGCTCCGGTAATGTGCACACTGCACTCACGCCCATATCCTCAGCGTGCGATGCCAAGGACAGCACATCGGCAAGCGGTGCTCCGCCCACCTGCACCATAATAAGCAGATTGTTCTTTACGGCAGCCCGATGCCAATACTCACAGTTCGCCTTCCGTTCCTTTACGGCCATTGTGGGTCCCTCGCCGATAACTCCGTTGATTAAAACGCCAACTACGCGATTTCTTCTCAGCATCTCAGCATATCGGGGTATGTTACTCACGTTCAACGAACGAGTCCTAATTATGTATGTGATTGATAGCTTTGAAACATTAATCACAATCCATATAGCTACTTACTCATTTTGTTTGAAACATGTAAAAACTGGCACCATAATGCCCTTAAAATGCTTATATGTGGCGCGTTTAATCGATTCCGGTGCCAGGGTTAGTCTATCATCCCGCACGTCTGTAGCCCTTGGATGCCTTTCATCATATGGAGGGACCTTATCAACAACCTCTTCTTCTCTATTCCCACTGATTCTGAAAACCGACGTTGACTCCTTCGGGGGACTCATAGAATAGGATTTGGATGCACTTCCATCTTTTTCAGCATTTCCCTCGGTATTTCCCTTCGTGGTCATGACAAGTGAAGCAAATTTTGTAAGCCCTAACTGAAATTTTTGTTACGACATTTCCGGATCTATGTATTTGTTGATAATTGTTAGGGAAAATTAAGATTTTCCATTCTCAAATGTTAAATTTTCTTATTAATATTACAAATAATTAAAACAGGATTAATGAGTTATGGTAAATCAGTAATTGTGGTTATGAAGGCGGGAGGGGTTTATCAGAAAAAAACATTAATCTGTCATTTTTCGAAGCTAGGAGAATCTCAATATAAAGTTTGTTTTCGAGATACTCGCGTTCACACAGGCAGACAAACGGACTAGTCTGTCATGCTGCCTTCTGTGCGTTATGTAAGTGTATATAAAACACTAAATTAATATTCACAATAAGTGGAACAGATAGAAGAGTTAACATGTATGCAGTTAGTTAAATTGAGTTGCCTCCTCAATAAATAAACAACCGATTTATTCAACGATAAAGAAAAATTAAATTTTGTTATTTCCTATGAAAAAAAAATACATGATTTGAGTTACTTTCCGAGATCCTTGCGTTCATACAGGCAAACAAACGGACGAACGTGGTCTTGTCAGACTGATCGTTGCGTTCATACAGACAAACAAACGAACGGAAATGCAGACGGACGTGGCTGTATTGACTCTCTGGTCTTGTCAGACTGATAAAGAACGTTTTCATTTGTACTCTGTGGGGTCTGTCACGCTTCCTTCTGTGTGTTATATACATTTACACCAAATTAATATTGTACACTTTTCCACTTGGTGCCAAGTTTGGTTATTCTAGCTCTTGTACTTTCTGAGATTCTTGCGTTCATACAGACGGACGGATAGACGGGCATGTCTATATTGACTATACAATCAGATATGTCTGCTTACAATTCTGGTAGGTGCATTGCATTGTGTTAGTTGATTTAAGAAGATGATTTTGTCTCATACCCGAATATTGCTCTTCCTTCTCGTAAATTCGAGTTCTGTTTGCCTTCATGAATTTTATTTTAGCGCATCTCTGCTGCGCTTCTGGCTGTTCGCTCCCAGAATGTGCTCGATTAAATCCTTATAAAGGTCAATTTAAAACCTGTTAAAGCTAAGCATACAACTATGTAAGGGTTAATGGAGTTAGTTTAATTGAGTTGCCTCCTCAATAAATAAACAACAGATTTGTTCAACATTAAAGAAAAATGTAAATTTTTTATTTCAAATGAATGAAAATATATGATTCTTCTTAAACATTCTCAGCGTATAACTAAAGTGCCTAAGAACTTATACTTGCTTAATTCTGTATTAATCGAAATAAAATTTGCAATATGAGGAAAATTGCAGATTTTCAATATAACTTCACATGGATACCGTTTATAGTTCAATATGTATTTCAATTCTCAGTTTAATCAGTAAAATTATAGTAAAATACGCATGGGGCTTTAAGTACATACGTATAGATAGCATCTTTAGGTATTTGTTATATTATCATTGCTAGTAGAACGCACAGATGGCGATTAATTAATAATTTCTATGATATACTATATGTATGTTGTAATTGGACTTTAAAAATATTTGAAGGTGTTGGCATTCTTGTTTTTTCTGATTTAACTGGGAACATATAGGTACAATATGTATGTATTAAGTGCAACTGTAACTGAACATTAGTATTGCTTACAATGCTTATACATACTCGTATGTATTTATTAATGATCCGATTTATACATCTTTTGCAATATAACCCCCATTTGTAGAAAGCAAAGTGGGTACACAATTGGAATTTTGTAATCCAAATGGATTTGTGTTTTGGTACATTTGGTTTTTGTGCCGACTATATGCTCTCAATAAAGCTTTATACTGTTAACAGCAAGAGATTTTCTCTAATTAGGTTTTACTTACGATAATCTTTCATGAATATATGTATAAATAGCTTAATATACATACTAAGTATATATCTTTAAAACGGTCTTTTCGAAAAATTTCTTTAATTTAAAATCTATTTTTTTTCTCAAAAATATGCACACAATCCCAATGCCTTCAAGGTCATTCCACTTGAAATTCATATAAAATTACAAAAAAATATTAAACTCAAAAATTGCATGACGCTCTCATTCCATTGTTGGCGCTTAGCAAGTATTACATATGTACATACATATATAGAAATGGATTCGCATACCCAATACTTTTTAACTGCGCCGCGGCCATGCCTTTTGCAGAAGATACGAGTACTTGTAAAGTTGTATATTCAAAATATATATATGTATACTATATATAGTATTGTATTATTTATGAATTATATGTTTTTTGCATATGTAGGTACAAAGTAGTATGTATATATAATTTATATATTAAGTTGTTGTCGTGCAAATGATTTATATAAATAATTAATGTACGTCTAAACAGCGACCATCTGCCTTGCACAGTTTGGAACCGGCACTGATTGTAGGTAACTGCTATAGGGTTTGGTTAAATCACTTATCTGTATCATTAAATAGACCTAACTGTATTAAAATGGCATCGTACAGGATTTCGAACCATAACCAATTTGGTCACTGAACTCTTTTCAGCTTTTCATTTCCCGAATTCCATTTGCTGTTCTCTAATATAGTTTGTTACATTTTCTAAAATGTAATTTTTAACGGCAATACTTGAATGAAATGGCTACATGTATATTATATACTATATTACTGGATAGGCTCCTTCAGTATTATTTGCACTGAATATAATTCGACATGCATATATATATATATAAAGTACTTTGCCTAATTATAGGGTAGATGGAGTTGGTATAAAATGTAGCATCTTATATAAATAATAATTTATTTCGAGCTATCTAAATATATGTCACTTATATCTAGTACAAATCATTATATCCTAATCATTTCAGTTATCCGTATAAGTTAAAAAATTTATATTTCGAACAAAAAAAACTAACACTTTTCAATTTTGAATTGTATTGTGTACTTGAAAGCTTGAACAGATATGTGTTATTTATTTTATTTAAGCCTAAATAGTTGGGTGTGATTTCAATACAAAAAATATATCCTTGTACAATAAGTATATAACTGGAAAGTTGTTGCTAAAGGATTACATTTATTTCACAATTTTCTAGCTAACTTTTATATCGTATTTTCATTTTCATATTTTTATATAAACAAAGAAAATTCGTACAATTCAATATACTATAAAATAAACCGTATAAAAGTTAGACATACATATATGAATATATATAGACATACATATATGGAGTTCAATGCCAATCTATCACAAAATCACATAGAGGGATCAATCATAATGACACACATATACACAGAGAGAAAAATAATCAGACAGAGAGACCGCTTAATTCTCGCATCGTTCCATTTCCAATTCTTTGAGAACTTATTTGGAGTAGCAGAAGCGTTTTTAAAAAACCCATCTTTTAAACGGTTTTTGGATTACAAAACACTTATGTACTTTATTGTTTTAATTTATGAATACTTAAATATTAATATTAACGTACTATATACGATTATAAATATTTGGTTACCCACTAATTTGTGTTCGTGTGCAGCTCGTGTGTCAGACACAAATCACAAAAAGGTACTTAAACTCTCATTGTGCACTTGTTGTGCAGTTATAAATCGAACCGAAAATCCTATATCGTATAAATATGCGTATGCTATAGCGAATACTTTAGTGGGTGTACATTTTTGGACATTTAACTCTTCAAATATGTGTGTGTGTGTGTGTGGGGAATTATGTTGGGTGAGCTCAGATCTGAACATCAGCTCAGTCCTTAATTCTATTGATTATGAACTATTTAAGTAATATAGTAAGCTAGCTGCATGCTCTTACAACTTAAAACGATTGACTAGAAGTTAGTGAAACGCAAGAGTGGGCAATATTATTTAAACATAAATAATTTTCTACATACTCGTATGTACGTATACTATGTACTTGTATGTATAGTAGTCCTCAAGGACGAGCACAACATGCGGGGTGGTAAGTATCTCTGCATTTACGTATATACAATAGTAAGTACATTATTTGAGCCGCCTTCGAGTTCTCGTATGTGCGTGTCAGAAGCAGACAATTTGCTTGCCTATTGATTTTGACAGTTGGAATTAAACAATTTAACAATTAACGTCAACAAGTTGTGAATTCCCCAGCTGAGTGGTAGATGGTGGTTCACTGACAAGTCACGAATACAAAACCGTAACCTCACTCGCCACAACAAAACTGAAAAATTCATGAACTAGGATAGTAATTATGTATTGGTTCAATAGTGCTTAGTTAGGCGGGTGCAGCTGCAACTAATGACAGGTCCCTGAAGACAGGTATACACATACGATAGTTTAGTGTCTATTTGGGGGTGCGGCGAACTACTACTTGCACTTGATTTCTTTTGTTTTCCATAGATTTATTTATATTTAGCTTATCTTACGGACTTAAACTATTCCAGGGGGGCATTGCGAAGCATCCTCTTACTTAACACTATGGTATGGTAAGGAAGCGAAGTGGATAGAACCGACCTTCTTCTCGCTTAGAAGGGCAAAGTTGTGACGAACATGTTCTCGATGAGAGCGGGCGCCGGTACTAGATCCTCGAGTTTTAAATAAAATATTCGCTGTAGACCCTGGACACTCAGTGACCGCAGCTCGGGCAATTTTCCGAGCAGCCGACTGAAGTAGTGTTGTTTCTTCTGGGCCTCGGCATTGTACGTGACATGATCGCGCAGACTGCCGATAATCTTCATTTGCAACAGCTCTACCTTCTTGGGCTCTCGCAGGCCATGTCGTTCTGAAATGTCGAAATATCGGGGTCAGTAAATCATAATTATTGGACAAATAGTAAATCCACGTACCTGTTACCAGAGTCAGCGCACAGAGGCAGGCAAATGCCGAAATATCAATCTCAAGATTGTGCAAGCTGCGACTGAACTCCATTATGCCGCCGAGCCAGTCCCCGAACGAGCGCTGGCATTGGGTCCGATGGAGCACAATGCCATTGCAGAAGATGAGCTTGTCGTCGTCGCTGCGCGCCCGGTACGATAGGCGTAGGACGAAAAGCTCCAGGGAGGCGGACTGAAAGAGCAACTCCTGGTCCTCTGGCAAGAGATCATTGTAGCCGGGTATCTTTTCGGCAAACTGCTTGATGACATCCACGGAGCTGGTGAGCAACTGATAGAACTGTTGCACTTTGTCGGCTTCGGTCATGCCCAGACCACCGCTGGGCGACGTGCTGATGTCTGGCTCCTCGTAATGTGTGTAGTCCAGGCAAGAGGGATCCGGAGTAGTATCTACATGACTGCGCACTAGTGCTGTTATCAGTGAAATCGGTGGTGATGGTGGCGACTCCTGTGGCGACTTGGGCTTAGAAGGCAAGCGACCACGTCGACCCTTCAACGAATCCGTACGCACCACCTCCTTAACCATGCCGACGACCAAACACTTCTGGAAGCGACAGAATTGACAGCGATTGCGTCGTCGCTTGTCTACTGGACAGTTCTTGTCCGCCAGACAGACGTACTTGGAACCCTTCTGAACGGTTCGCTTGAAGAAGCCCTTGCAGCCCTCACAGGTGCGCACGCCGTAGTGCTGGCAGGCAGCAGTATCCCCACAAACAGCGCACAGCTGTGAGGAGGACTGCAGGATGCGTCCACCATTCAGCAGATCTCCAGCGACATTGTGTGTTGACGGCGTCAACTGCTGGCGGCAACTGGCAGGGGAACTAGCCGCCGAGTTGGGTGCACTGGACAACTGAAGCGCTGCAGCGGCAACGGCATGTCGTGCGCCCAACGTAAGCTTGGCCAGCTTGGGACTTTGAGTGGCGGAAGTGGGTGAAGCGGAACGCTGCACTGGCAACGAAGCACGGCGTACAGGTGGCATTGAAGTGGCGTTAACGCCTGCGGCGGCAGCGGCCACAGCAGCGGTTGCCGCTTCCAGCTCCGAAATGGTGGGAAATGTCGGTAAGGAATAGCGTTCGCCATTGTGCGAAGCATAGTTCTGAAAAGGTGAACAGAAATATGGAGAATAAGAAAGAGTTGGATAGGAAGTAGAAGAAAGTGAAATGAAGTTGTTCTCAAATTATTTACAAAACAATTATTTATTACAAGACTTTTCCATTCTTCCCCACAACCTAAGTTAAGTTACAGTGAAAACTCTCTTATCCGCTCAAGGGGAGTGTCCACTTGAGGGGATACCAATTATTTATAGTACACCTAACGAATGTTCTAAAAAAAGGGTCTTCTTCAAAGGGGTGTCCGGATAAAAGAGCTGTCCATTACGAGAGTTTTCACAGTATATTGAACAATTAAAAAACAAATACAATCATCATAGTCAAAGCTAGGAATCTGAGGTTGAATAGAGCGAATTGTCGATCGTTGACCTCAAACCAATTAGTGTTTAAGTTTAGAAAAACAAGACCGCTTACTTGTTGCTGGTAGGTCTGCTGATAAAAGCCATCTGTGTTTGAGAAGCTTGGCAACTGCTCGCGACTGCCATTGTTGGAGCCACTTCCCATATTGAACTCGTACAAGGACGAGGCCGAGGATGTTGGCGATGGATTGGAAGTCGTGGTGATTGCATTGAAATGACCATGATAGTTATATGAAGAGTTGCTGTTGTTGTTGTTGTTACTGCTGCTGCCACTAGGATGTGGCATAAGCGGTTGTTGTTGGTGCTGTTGCTGCTGTTGCTGCTGCTGTTGCTGTTGTTGCTGCTGAAGCTGGTGCATATGTTGGAGCTGGCCATGACTGGCATTAAGGCCGGACATGACCTCAGCGACTGTAGTCAATGGAAAGCAATCCTCATCCATTTTGAGCGTGAGCACCTGATCAGTGGGCGTGCCCGTGGGGGTGCCCCCCTCCTGCTGAGGACTGCTGCCGCTGCTGTTGTACTTCAGGGAGTATGTCTCCTGGAAGCTGGGCAAGGAGCTGCCGCAAGAGAGCGGACCGGCTATGGGTGAGATCAAGAGGTCTGTGGCACCGTGACGCTGAAAGTGTTCCTGCTGCTGCTGTTGCTGTTGTGCGTGGAGAGCAATGGCCGGATCGCTGCTGGAGCGCAGGCTCAACAAACCCAACTCCTGCGGTACGCTGCGCTCAAAGGACAACAAGTTATGCTCGTGAGCCCCCGAGCTGGCCGGCTGTTCAGGTATGGAGGGTAGACGTTTGTCGCGTAGGCAGGTCAACTTAGTGAGGTTTGCAATGGAGTTGGTGATGTCTTCGCTGCTACCAACCAAGGTATCGCAGGGGGAGTGCAAATTGCTCGGAGTGGTGTGGGATTCGGTGTAGCTGGCGGTCGACTGATCCAAGACAGGCGATAGGAGCGAGTTGTTGGAGTCCGAGGGAAAGAAAAGATCCGAAAAGAGCTCGGTGTGGGAGACAGCTGCGTCGGTCAGATTGCTAATCAGTTGGTCCTCCTCATGGGACAACAGCGTGTCCTGACTGGACGCGGGCAGCAATTGTGGCAACTGTTGTTGTTGCTGCTGCTGCAGTATCTGCTGATGCTGCTGCTGCTGATGCTGCTGATGCTGTTGCTGTTGCTGCTGTAGGTGGTGCTGATGGTGGAGATGATGGTGTGAGCTGCTGGTGTTGCTAGAGGACGTCGTCGTCGCTGGTTGCGTTGAGAAGTTGTCAAACGGCGAGAGTGAACTGAAGGAGCTCTGCAAGGCAAGACAGTCGAAGTGGAAATGAATTAGTAAAAATTCAAAGCTAACATTTAGCCTAAGCAGCCAATGGGGTGGAGTTTCCCAACCAACTGTTGGGCATGCGCGCGACAGTGCCACCGATTGGTGCAAGGCTTGCAACCCTTAAGTGTTGCCGTTTAGCGTCTAAATTGGACACGGATGTGTGCTTGCCACACAATATAATAACATATTTGAGTTAATTGAATTAGACAACTATTGTTGCTCCTTTGCACCTCACAGCTGGCAATTAGTGAGGCCATTCAGCTTTGCAATTTGCATGGAGTCGGACGATTTGCACGTGCAGGCTGCTCGTATCTGGCAAATGCACAAAATATTTCCATGATATGGAATACCCTTGTTGGGTTAAATGAATCGATAATGATTGATTGAAAAACTTCAGACAACAGAATAGTTGAAGATATTTGATTCTCATTTAAATTTATTTAAATTGAATTTTGATTATAAGGATATTTCTTGGGCCACTTACATTGGGTTGCAAAAGTAACATGCTTGTTGTCGCTTGGTTAGTGAGCCTCAATTGGCTAACTCTGGTATGTGCTGCTGCAGTTGTTGCTGTTGAAGTTATTGTTGTTGCCGTGGCTATTACTGTTGTTGCTGCTGCCGCTGTTGTTGCTACTGTGGGGCTGTTGTTGCTTACGCTCTCTCCGCCAACCGCCTCGGATTTTCCACTTCTCAGCTTGCTGGCTTTGGGGCTAAGCGATTTCGCGGTTACCGTGGAAAGCTTACGTTGCTCACTCAGCGTTTGTACTGCACCTGTAACGATGTGAGGCGGTGGAAAGGTTCTTAGCTAAATGTCAATTTGTCTCTAGAGTATTCTAATGTCAATCCATATAAGAGTGCTGAGTATGTAAATGACGCATGCAAATGACTTTTTGTGCCGAAAACAATTATAATGTGTGAGGGACAAGCCTCATAAATTCCACAAAACATAAATTACGTGCTCCCCCCCCACCCACTAGCTTCGGCGCAGACAGTCCTGGCTACTGAAGCCATAAGAAATCTTATATTGAAAATCTCTCATATTTGGCGGCCCCTGCTAGGCAGCTGTTAAAAACCATTGGCCAATTGTCTTGCATTCTGCACGCAAGCGCCGTATCGAATGTCTTAATTAGAAATGTAAATGCGCCTGTGCCTCGGAGTTGGAGTTGGAGTTGGACTCCGCTTTGGATTCGCGACAACGATTGTAGACACCTCGTTGGGTCGCTGAGGTGATGTGGGGTTAGCTGAAGAAGAAGCAGCAGCAGCGGGCAAACGAGGATCACATCTCCATCTCGGCTAATGCAGCACATAAAATGTAATAAATTGTGTTGTCCGACGTTGCACGTTGCACGTTCCATGCTGTGTGTGTTGTTCGTAGCTGTGCGAGACTTTGGCTTTGATTACAACAAACAAACAAACAAAATATTGTGTTTTATTGCAAAACGTTGAGTTGGAGGCCCCCCTTCTGTTGGTTGCATTGTGGAAAACATTTTTCATAATTTGCATAATTTTACTTTGTTGTATGTGCCAATCGGCCATATTTTCGAGTCTGTGAGAATATGCGTTCAAAAATGTTTCCCTTTTTTGCAGCTTTAGTTCGGTTATAAAAGACAATAATGCCACACACACACACACAATATAAAATATAAAATATCATTGAATATAGCCCAGGGTCATATAGAAAGCAATTGAGGAGCGATTGGAACACAATGACCGAAACTACCGTGGGCTACTGCCAAAAAAGCTACCGGGAAGAGCGTTGCGATGAGCATTTCGGTTTACAATGTGCCATTGTTTTTTTTATAGATGATGGCCCAAAAAAAAAAAAAAACAACAACAACAAAAAATAGAAATGTGTGCAAATGGGTTGGGCTATCTGGATTTGTGGGCAAGCAGAGAGTCAGGCAGGCAGACAATCAGTCGCATCTTCAAAGCAGCTGCAATCAGCGATGCAGTTGCTGCATTTTTATAATTGTTTCTGACTTGACTATAACAATTTCTTTTGTTGCCGCTCTTTTTTTTTATTATTGTTTACAGCCAGTATGGCTCGTTAACAAATTTATTATAATGACTTGGTAGCATGGCGAAGGAGAAACGACAGCGAGATCCACAAACGCGGAGTCGACTTGGCCAGCCCAAAGTGCTCGTGTCTTCTTGCCATTACATAAGTTTGCTAATTTTTTATATAATATCGTTAATACATATTATTTTCCAGTGGAGGCAGGCAAACAGCCAGCTAGCCAGCCAGCCAGCTAGCCGGGCAAGCAACTCTCCAGCTTGGGCAACTATAGGCAGTTGCTTGTCGGACGCTCTAACTAATGGCCCGGCCATGTAAAGTATCGGCTTGCCATGTACTTTGAACTGCGAACTCCGGCGAGCCGAGCATTGATCAATGGGCATATACTCGTATAGTATGCATCTGCCGAAATTGACAGACGGACAGACACATGGACACTTGGACACATGGACACATGGTCGAATGTTGCATTGTGTGTGCAATGACCCAAAGAAATGGTAATAGTAGTATGCCCGTCTGCGCCAGTCAAACGCTTTGAACGTGGGTCAGACGGCACTCAGTCATTGAGTCAGTGGGTGCATCGAAGACGATGGTAAAGTGCAAAACGTTGCACCAAAAACAAGACGCAGCCACCACCGACTCTGGTCGATCTCTCTGTTCGAGATTCGTTTTCGAGTTGTTTTTCTATTTTTCTTTTTTTTTTTTTGGTGGGGGCTTAGTGGCATTGTGTTTCGCTTTCGGTACCTGGTGGTTCGTGTGAAGTTTTGTGAGAAGTATACAAATGGGTTTCAGGTTTGGGCCAAGGAGTTAGTCATTTTTTGTTTCTTGTGCAGGTTCAGTGGAGTCTAGCGACAAAGACGGCGTCGATGGTATCGCCTTTGAAATCCACGACGCAGCACAACGTTGGTCTGGCCTAATAGACTGGCCAAACTTCTTCCTACAGCCTGCACACTACGAGCTGGAGTACCTTTAAAGATGATGATGACAATAATAATGAGGATGATGATGATGAGGCCGACCCGGCCCGGCTCTTCCATCCATGCTGATGTCGTTGTTATTGTTGTTGTGGATACTTGTATAGACTTTCACTATTAATTGTCGATTTTCATCAATTGTTGTTACTGTTGTTGCTTGTTGCTATTTTTCTTGTGATGCGGCACAAAATGTAATGGGTAATGGGTAGTAATTGGTAATAGGGTTGGTATTTAAAGTTGTGCAAAAAACAAAAACAGAAAAGTACCGAGAAATAGAAAAAAAAACCCCCCAATTTCTGTGCCGTCTGTCTAGCGCTTTGTCGAAATTCATATCGAAATTGGATCTATTACTCAATGGGCTTGTGAGTGAGAAGCAATTTGATTGATTTATGCAATCGCAGCCTGCATTGTTTTGCTGTCCAACTAATTGCCTCAGCGTCTTCCTCAGCTTGGCTTATGTCATGGGCAATTTTCAGTTTGCAACTAAAAAGGCAGACACACGATCCAAATACCTCCATTTGCATAGCAGCTTTGTGAAAGAGAGAATTCTTCTGGCAGGGCGCAGGTTAACATATGACAAGTATTATAATTGTTAAGACGCTACCCAAGAGATCATAAAGCTCAAGTCTTTTGCATATTTGTCACTGCCAGAATGCCGCAACGTACTCGTCTACTGCCAAAGGCAATGGCATCTCGCCTGGCTCTACGATCATGACTCTTTTTGGAGGCACTGCTACAAGCATTTATAATTTTTGGATAATATTTCTTCTTTTTTTTTTTTTTTTGAGCAAAATGCAGCAATAAATATGTGACTTTGCTAAGATAGATGAGGTGGTTGGTATGCAACTGCCTTGTAATGGAGTCGCTTTGAAGTTGGAAGCGACTAGTATGTGTTCTCAGTCGGTTCTTAACTCTCTCGACCTCACCCCCTCCACCCAGCACTGTAGTCGCAAAATATTTTTTTATAATGTTTAATTGAAATTCGACAATAAAAGCAAAAATATAAAAATTAATCGCCAAGCTACATTTTTAACGTTTCAAGTTATCTTCATGTTGAATAAAGTTTTAATGGTCTCTTGATATGATAGTAAGCAAATTATAATTGAGAATATAATGATTACAAAATTTAATTGGAATCTAAATTATGAGTAGTAATAAAAATAATTATTAACGTGTTATGGAAGGTGGGGAATTTCCCCCACTTTTCCAATCTATCTCCTATTTTACGTACTTTAAATGCCATTCTATATATTCATAACTATAATTATTTTCAAGAAAATTGTCTTTGGGACCATAGTGCCCTGCAGGCAGGCTGTTGCAACAGCCAAATATGTTTCTGCCATCAACTTCTAGCTATGATCATAAATATTTTGAAAAATTTATCGCTGCCATTTTGAACCGTGGCTGTAAAATCTTTGTCTGTCGCCGACAACACACACACACACACACGTTCACACACGAGTTCGAAAATCATTTATTAATTTGTCAAATTCAACGACACGTTAGGAAACAAAGATATTGAAGGTTTCGTGCCATTGTGATTGTCGTTTATAACTAATTCTTGTAGATAAAAGTGGCAAGAAGTCATGCGGCCAGAAGTCAACAAAGTGCAACAAAAATGAGTATGAAATGTGTGTGAAAAATCATACACACATATGTACGGCTGAGTGTTTAAAAATATGATCATTTGATAATATAATCGTGTGCTGACAGATTATTTGGTGGCCGGTTGAGTTGCTTGATTTATGCTGAGTTGAGACTTAGCGCCAGCACATACTAGTATACTTGTATGAATGAATGCCTGATAGACTGACAAATGGAAGAGGAATTCAAAATGTGTGGAGAGCAAAAAGAAATATTGCTAATGATTAAATATAAATCTTCCCCAACCCAAACAATTAAACTGTTCATGTTACACAGAGAGTTGCCTTTGTTGTTTAGAACCTTTAAAGGTTTTTATAAATAAGTCAAGTAAAGAATTGTATTGGTCAAGTTATACTTATTACGCGCAAGATATATTTCATCTCTGAAGTATATTTGTATCATAAATATGGTTTTTGTACTTTTTTCATTAGACATTTAACCATTTACAATTGACGCTTAAATATAAAATGGAAATGCAGAATTGTGTAAGTCAAGATAAACCTATTACAAGCAAAATATATTTCATCCTTAAAGTAAACATAAAATTATAAAATGTAATATATACAAATTCCATATCAATTTGTTTTTGTACTTTTTTTTCATTTAGTTCTAAACTAAACTAGTTGAGTTCTTGACACTCTAAATTTAAAATGGATTCTCAAAAAGTCAAGTGAAGAATTGTGTTGGTCAAGTTATACTTACTACGAGCAAGATATAGTATAAATAACCATATGATTCATTATAAATTTCAGTGCAATAACGAAACAAATTGTCGCAACAATTCGCTGAAATCTCTTTGCGCCTTATTGGCGTCATCGATGGCTGCAGCAGCATTAACTGCATTTGCCCGCACCCGCACCCGCCCGCATCGGCCAGTGGCTAAAATATTATTTTTTAATCGCTGCAAAAATCGTTGAAGGCCATCTTGGACATTTCGTAGCTAGCCAGCCAAGCGGATTGAAGTCTCATACGAGCA